TTGCGTGTCGAGTTGTATAAAAAGAAATTTTTTTCGAAAGATCCGTACTGTCGATGAGATGAGGTTCACCTCAGCACTTCTAACCTTAGTCCTAGTCATTAGCAATGGAACAGCTTTACCAGAGGTCGATGAGCCTTTGATGAATCGGAAGGTTGATACAGGTATTTCCATACTATTGCTTATAAATATCTTAGTTTTCAAGGTTTGACCGTTGAGCAGTTTGATGGTTATGTTAATTTGCTACAGATGTTTAAAGGTATTTCCCGTATCGTATACATCGCAATGAAACCGAAAATTCATAGATATGCTTCCGAAGGATTTGATGAACACACTAGAGAGTGTCAGTTTGTGAATGTTGTTATACTGATTGTATTTGTGAACATTCAGTTGAATGGAGGAGAGAAGGGGGAAGTCATTGCCCTGATAACTAATTGGTTCCAAGGAAACGTGAAGAAACCAGAAAATCGTGAAGAAGTGGCTCAGTTTCTGAAAGATAATCTTCCCTCGGTTTCTTTTATTCTTTCGAACATGTTTGTTTGAACCTTTCATTCAAGGTATCTACCAAGATAGAGAAGCTCAATGCGACATTTTACGAAAAGTTCGATAAACTGAAGCCAAAAACGCAAGAGATGTTACGCTTGGTATGACACTTGATCTTCTAGGTTGATCTATTGTTTTCAGTGGAGAGATAAAGCTGTCAATATAACCGGAAGTAGTACAGGAGAAGCTGCAGCGCGACAATTACAGGTTTGTTCCTAATTTGAGTATGCTGGTATGTGCGTTTGCCTTCGAAGAGTTCAGGAGAACCAAGAAAACTCTAACAACTTCTTATCTTATACTTCTCCATTCCTCCTTAGCACTCTGCAGGAGAATAGTTTCAATCAGAATGCTCTCTCAACTCTTCTCTGAGATAGAAAATGAGTTCCAGAATATGAATAACTGAATGAGAAGATTGAAAATTGAAATATTCAGTTGATGAGAGAATTCGGATTAGCTGTACAAACATTGGACCCAGAAACGAAAGAAGATCTTCGAAGTCAATTTCCTACTGCTGTTAAGCTAACAGAAGGTAATATATTATAATTAATATAAATTATAATATATATTATTCAGGTCTTGGATTTACAGTAATCACAACGATCATGATGATTGGTGAGAAGATTGCTGACAGTCTCACTCCATTGTCAACTGTTGCACCAATAATGGATTGTCCCGTTGAATAAAATAAACATTTTTGTTTTCACACACATACACACAACATACAGACACACACACACATACACACACGCATATTGCAGGAAAAATCCGTAACAGAAGGCTTAGAAAGGGGATTATCACCAGGGGCAACGTGTTCGACATGTTGTTGGTCAGCCAATAACAATTTTCTCTTTAACCTCCATACATAATAAAGAAATCCCTTAAATTTCATTGAAAATCTCTCTTTATCCTATCTCTCTACCTTTCAATCTATGAGCCTCTCCCTTACTCTCTCTCTTCATCTCTCTCTCTCTCTCTATCTCTCTCTCTCTCTCTCTCTCTCTCTCTCTCTCTCTCTCTCTCTCCGCTCTCAACACACCCCACCTTACTTGTATCTTT